GATGCATTACTGTTCAGTTTAGATGGATTTGATATCTTCACCTGAGCTAGGCACTGTCTTAATAAAGGAACAGGCATTTTGGAGTCAGGTTAAACTGAGCTAATTTAGGTGTGTGTGCAAACCTGGAATGAACTGTCACCTAAATACACGTATTTTTCTCCTCTAACTGTACAGTGAGGTGAAGTGGACTTGTTCCCATGCAGAACTATGTAGAAATCCCATACAGTCATATGAATCCCACCCAGGGGCCACCGTCTCACACATAGGTATAAATCTGTGACAGCTTTCTGCAGGAATCTCAGGCTCTTCATCCCTCATTTCCATTGCATTTCTAGTCACTAGAAAGGTTGTCAGCATCACATTACACAGGCCCACAAAAACAAGGCATCAACATGGATGTGTCCCTCTGTCCTCATAACATGGCTTCATTTAAACCTTGCATATTCTTTCTGACTAACATCTGCAGAAGAGAGGCCTCCCTAATTGTCTTCAGCTGAACGTCTTACCCTGGCTCTATCGGGCAGTGTCAGTAGAGGAGTGCTGCCAGCATTTTCTCCTGTTCTCCTGGACCATTTAAGATGTTCATCTGTGTGGAGCACAGACGTCTTTTTGTGGGCTCTCTCTACTCCCACCTTGCTGACTCTCAGCCTCTAGCCTTGTCCCTTTTCCTACACGTGAGGCAGGTGCCTTTCCAGTGTTATTAACTTCTCCACAAGTCTCACAATGTTGAGTATTTGTTGTAGAAGTCCAAATGCAGTAATCACACTATAACCTTGCAAGGGAGGCTTTAATACATTCCTGGGAAATCCTCCAACACTAGCATTCAAATAAAAGTCAGATAGAATGCATCACCTTTTAAATCTCACTGTTTTAGCCATTTTCATAACTGGGGCTGGGAGGATTAGACTCATGCTTTCCAATGGGAAATGTCATATTCTTCTGTAAGGGTCTGATAGTGTTTTATTTAAACATTAAATAAATGAACCTTCAAGTAGCACAGAGCAATACTGTTCCAGTAAATTCACCTAAAACCATATTTAAGTGTCCCCCCACTGTAATCCTCACACCTCTATAGCAATCCACAAGAAAATATGATTGCAACATAGGGGTGAAAGGTCTTCTTTTTAAGGCATGAACTTAGTGGTGTTCAGGTCTGCCACTGGCATGTGGTGCAGAGTCACAGAAGGGCTGTGAGTCGTAATTCACTAGTTTTTGTGTAGGTATTTCAGTCCTGGGAGCAGGTTATATTTAATCATAGGTTGTTCAGCTTTGCTTAATATCACCACATGAAGAACTTATACTTTTAGTTTTGCCTATTAAAACATGTTGTATGAGCAGAAGATAAAAGCATTTTGCCTGTCTTCATCTCTGACATATGTTCTTGTGTTTTAAGAAAGCATTTGGTTTCAGGGCATTTCTGAAGTTTACCAATAGGTAACGATAAAGTGTTTCTGAAACATTGTACAAATACCAAATGGTTATTCAAAAATGATTTATGCTTGGAAAAACAATCATAAAAGCTGCTTTGAAAAGAAAACAGATTGTTAGCACTTTCTGAAATGGTTTCCCTTTCTACTTCAAGAAGTAATCCATTTAAGATCTTGTTTTAAGGCAAATGAAGCAAATTATTTTTTCCCATTAGGTTTCAGAGTTCCCTTTACTGGCATTCAAAAGCACTTAATGAACAGAAATGATTTGCACTGAGACCAAAAAGAATAATTTTAATATGATTAAAAACATAGGATTTATGGATGCAAAGAAGACTTAAAATAATTCCATTTCCTCCACCATCTATATGTTAAATTGAACTACATATCCAATTACAAGGGCCATAAATAAATGTCAGCCTTTGCCAAATGTTTTCTTATGCAACTTGAAATTATTTTTCCTCAATACTTTCCCTGTCCCTCTCACAACACACTAAAAGCTCGGCACAATTAGCAGATATTTACCTTGGAAGAGTGAAGACATGCTTCTCTTGAATCCAGATAAACAGGGTAAAAAAGAGCAGGTAAAACTTCATCTTCGTGGCATCCACAATTAAATGCAATTGGAAAGCAAAGGGTTCAGGACCCACATTATTGATTTTAAAAACGTTATTTAAAGAGTAGTTAAAATTTAATACTGCTTCTCACCTCAACTCCAAGCTCCTGGTGGCTAAGTCAGTATGGCAGGGCTCCCTAAGGAGGTCCTGCTTGTATTGATGTCATTCACGTAAGAGAGTATAAAATACATTTTGGACATTTTCATATTGACAAGTCACTTTGTCATCTCGGTCTTTATGTTACTTCATTGTGGCTAGAATCACAGACATAAGAAAGAACACCAAGCACAAAGCTTTTGTGAACCTCTAATATTTGTGGAAGTCCAGCAGCGTGCTCTGCATCCAGCATTCCTATAAGACATCACAGCTAAGCATGAAGATGGGTCAGAGCAGTGGGAATGAGATTATTAAGTCCAAATAGAAAAATCCCGAGCAGGTAATCTTCTTCTGCTGGTATTTGCTAGCAGAGAAAACAAGGAGCAAGTGGGGCATATGTTTCTGTGATGGTCTGACATCCACATATTTTCCATATGTCACACTAGGTTAGCTTCTCAAGAAAAAAATACAAATGACTCTTCATCTCATTATTAATTTTTGCATACCTCAAGATTTGCTTCCCATATCTGTATTCACAGTTGTGCAGACAGGACATGCTCAAAAGCTATATGAATTTGACTTGTCCAGAATAGGTGATTTCCATCTTTGCTCTGTTCTTGAACAGTAATTCCAAACTTGACTAGGACACAACTTATTATCATGGTCCAAGTCCTCTTCTTCCATGCACCAACATAACAGTTCCAGGCATGGCACTGTTTAGAAAAAAACCCCAATAGCAGCCTTACAAGGAGGAAACTTTACATCTTCAGCATCAGATCCACTCTGATGTTAGCTCTTGGCTGAGTATGTTGTACAGGTGCTGAACGAAGGAATAAAACTGGTTGTCGATTTTCAGGTTTTTCAGGTGAGTGGTCCCCAGAAACACAATATGGCTTTCTGCCAGAGGGAATTCATTCCAGAAGAGGACTGAAGAGTGAATCAATATGCACACAATGGGGTTATAGCTGTATGCCTGGGTGAAAAATGGCTGGGAACAAGCCCTGGAGCTAAGGTTATGTGAACTAGATTTCATCCATCAGCATCCTCTAAAACAGCTCTGGAGTCGTCTGGATCAGAGCCAGTTCTCCAGATAGGCAGGCAATCAGGACTTTGGAACTCAAATGCAGTCCTGGCTTTTTTTTTTTTTTTATTTGGGGGGGGGCAGATCTGTTCTAAGAAGTCAGACAGCTAAGTTTAAGATGACAGCAGAGGTGAATCATGCTCCCCAGTGAGTACCCTGGAGTTAATGTCTCTGGAAATACACCAACACTGAAAATGCCCAAACTAGAGCTGTGCAAAAAAACAGATACCAAAGGGAAAGGGTAAAAAAAGGCTCATGGGAAGCTATACCACTAACACCTTACGTAGATTTTGTAGTTCCTATTTGATCTTTTCTAGATGTTGTTCAAACAAACAAAAAGTTCTGGTAGGGTACAGAGGGCATTCCCTGAAAGGGCAGTGGGCAGTGCTCTGCCATGAAGGTTGATATTTAAACCAAAGGTTCAGATACTCTTTCCTCACATAGGCAAAAGGAATCTGCCAGCATAGGATAAAAGACAGGAAACTTGGTCATCCAGACCCTGTTTTTTCTGGAAATGTCTGATGCACAGATATGAAGAAAAATTTGACCTACTGAGATAGGTTTAGCAGAAGAGATTGGAAAGCTGATGGAGCTGGGCTGCTGGTATTGAAGGAAATATAAGGATCATATCTCTACATGTCTTAAAGTGATAATTAAGTGGGAGAAGGGAACACTTTCTCCTATCTATCTGAGAAGAAAGTTTTGGACAAATGGTAGGTGTAAGGTATTTTTGAATGTTGGTTGCTTTTCCAGTGGGTTCTCCAGCTTGTTGTAAAGTGACAGTTCACATGGAGTTTGAAAGCTGCTGATTTCCCACTTGCTTTTGGTTTCTGGAATGCACTGGAAATATTTATTACCAAAAAAAAAGAAAAATGGGTCTTTGAGGAAACTGATGGCAATAGAGGAAATTCTGAGGGAAGGACAAATCAGAGTCTTGTGGTAGCTAAGGCTCTGCAGAGGTTAAAACACAATAAACAATAAATGTAGAATGAAAGATCTAAAAATAAACAAAAAATAAAATGGAAGGTGTGACTGGGCAGGAGGAAGAAATGTATATCCCCAGGCCTCTTGCTTGTCTGAAAGCCTCAGAGTTCTCATAACTCAAAGTAGGACACAAACCCGCTTTCTCTCAAGTGTGTGCTGGACATTGCTTATTTGGATCTTTCATCTTCCTCCTTTTTTTACCTTTCCATTAGTATTTAAACAATGCAGTCACCATCCTCTTCACCATCTCTGGTCATTGTCCTTGGGTGACTAAATGGCAGCTTTGCAGTCACTAGAGCCTCTAGCTTCGTCCCAGCACCACCACCCCAGCACCAGAAGCCAAAATGTTTGAATCTGCTTACCTAAAATGAGGTTCCTGGTCAGCAAGCAGCTCCATAAATTGAACTGATTTCCCATTGCAAAGTTATCTGTGCTGTGGCACACTCCACACACAAAGGCAATTTCTATGACAGTTCTGTCTTTAAGCAGGTCAGATTTCCTTTCCTGATCATATCTATTTATACTGTGTTGATGTGATTTGCTCTAATGAACAACCAAATGCACACTGATTACCCCCAAATCCTTGTGAGCTGCTAAAGGAGCGTTCTAGGTGTGCCCAGCCAGAATATCAGTTAAAAAACTACCAACATAATAGAAAGGGGTGGGAATGTATTCAGGCACCAAATTTAAGCATTAACTGCCCTGCTTCCACCCAGCTGTTAGGGGTTATCATTTGTGCTTTGATTTATGTCAACATTCCCTTGTCTCATCCTTTAGGAAGAGAGAATCATCTTCTCTATCATTAGCCCTTCCCACTGCAGATTACTACACCTGAGCAAGCCATTTTAATGCTGCTTATACAGACACTGCAGAGAAATGGGAACTTTTTGGGAGCAATTCATCTGTGACCTCTTGTAGATATCTCAGAGAGTAATGAAGCATCTGGTCTTATTCATGGCCACTGGAACCGGGGTGACTCACTTGGAGGTAGGAGGCTGTATTTGTTCCAGTGTATCCCATAGATTCTCTCTATCTCCCTTAGCTTGAACACTTCAGGTCCTTATTATGGTCATAAGCAATATGCAATGTTCCAGGCTAGAAAAGTCATAAATTAAGATTTACTTGCTCTACCTGCAGCAGTAGGTAATAATAGCCTTCAAGATTTTCTGAGAACTTGGGAAGTATTTCTGGAAAGAAAAATGCAGTCTTAAAAAAGACTGTGAAGGACAACTATAAAAACAATTGAGTTAAAAAACCATTTCATTTTGATAATTTCAACTGTTGTTTGACTTTTTTCCAAGGCTTTTAACATAATTCTATTGTAAACTAACTTGCATTTCAATGCTCTATTTTTTAAGACCTGGAGGAAATAAGATTGAATTTAGAAACTCTTGCAAGAGGAGATTTTAGTTGAATTTGAGAAGATTTAAAGTCTTCCTTTCTTGAACAAATTTATTTTTCTCTAGTCAGGAAATTCATCAAAACTGATCCTTTCTAGGAACCCTTTTTGCTTCTGCTGAGTCAGCATTCCCTGGTGAAGAGCTGCTTGATCAAAAATTCTGTCTGAGTTCAAAGGTTTTCCTGCACAGGGATTAATTATTCCTTCTCCACTGGGTAGACTATGGGCTATGCTGACCTGGTGCTTGCAAGTGTTACCACAGCAGATGTGACCAGAAGCATTGCAGTAATGGGAAATGGTTCCATTTGTGTTGGTTTCTGTTAACTTTTAGTGTAGCTTTGGGAAATGCATAGGTTTTTATTTAAAAAGGATGAGCAGGTCTTAGCTTTCAGAGCAGATAATAAACAAAGTATTCTGTTGATTTCTTGGTTGAAATTATGCATCTGGGAATTAGGACTGGCAGTATATGTAGCCTTCTGATGCCATTATTATATTGTTTTTTAAAATATAATCACTCTTGTAAAGCAATTCTAAAGAGATTTTTTCACTCTTTTGGCTGAATGCTGACTCTCCTCTCCCTCTGCACATTCACATGTAACACCAGTGTCCCCTGGACACAGCATACCAGACCAGGCTCTGGCACATCTTTTTGTGGTGGCTTAAGATGTCAGTGCTCAAAAAGGTGGCAGCAGAAGGCCAGGCACCTGTGTCCCTGCTAAGCCAGGATATCTATCATTGCTCAAGCACCCTCTGCATCAGCATATGCTGAGATGCTGGGCTGTGCCTGGCTGTCATTCTGGGCTCCTGCAGCTGCTCTTTCTGGCGAAAGAGCACCAGAGCCCAGAAAGCTGTCATGTGAAACATATAAAGCAAAAACTTCTTGAACTGCTGCAGCCAGATGGTCTCAAGCAGTTGGAGCACTGCCATTGAGTAATCTCAGTGACTCCCATTAGTGGCACCTTTGGTTTTCAGCAACTAAGCATCACAGGATTTCCTTTAAACTCAACCAGGACCTAAATGTGGCTATCTTCTTTGATCCTGGGGCTTGCACAGTTTCCAGCAGTAAGATTTTAAATAACAAGTCTCATCCTGCATCAAGATTCTCAGATCTGAGTCTGTATTTCAGCGTGTGCTAAAGCACATGCTAGGTTGCTGCTGTCTCTTTGTAATAGTAAACCTGTTAACAAGCATACAGAAGGGGCAGAAGGAGGGGAGGTCAGCTGTTGTCAGCAGTCACGTCCCTCAGATCCTTTTCCTTGTTTGGGATTAGAATGGTCTGTTATTGTTTTGATCCTCCAGAATCCTCTCGTTTCCAGCTGTTTAGGGAGTCCTTTCAGGGATGGGTAATCATGCTGATGCATCCATGGGACTGAAGCAGAACACAGAAGCCAAGTGAGTCTGTGCTGTCCTTCTTGCTTCTTTAAATTCAGATTCAAAAGCAAAATAATCTGAAAACCATTTATAGGCCCTTGCCTTTCTTTTGTGTGTTATCATTACTGATGAGGCCAAAGGTGACCAGTTAGCATCCCTCCCACATAAAGCAAAAGATGACTAAAATCTAACTAAACTCTGATCTCTGTTGCTTACTGTGTGAGGCAGCTGAGTGCTGTTGCTCATGAACCACACAAAGATGCAATTAGTGTAACAGCTCTTTATTATGAATGCAGCAGAACAGAATTAGAACTCAATTTACAAGTCCCCCTTTCAAACCCATTCAGCCGTTAAGGCTGCATCATCTTTCAGTCTTCCAAGGCATATAATTGATAAATGATTTGTCCCTGCACACCTCGGCTCCTCATCTTTATTCATGAACCAATTAATCTCTGTAGGACACTGTGATCATTTACATATATGGCCAATGTCACCAACCTCTGTCATTTCATTCAGGAAACAATTTTGCAGCCTATGAAACCACCAGGAGGGGAAAATCTGGACTATGTCTAAATTTCTGTGGTTCTGGCATTTCTCCCTCACGTTATTCTCAAATATAAAAATCACATGCTACGCGTGCTAGAAAATTATGGGTTAACCTGGGAGAAAACAGATTTCTTGTCCCTGAGTGAGTGCTGGCAGGCAGTGGCTGAACCTGTATTAGTAGGTTGTTTCCACATGTTCTAAAGCTTGACAAGCCAAGGAGGCATTTTGACAGTCCAGGTCTCATTAGTACAGTTCACAACCTCTAAAATTAGCAGAACCTATATTTCTAGAATCTGGCTCCAACAGCAAAGTTGGGAAGTTACTAGAGATATTTTGCAAGGTCTGATCACGACATGGGCAGCATTACCCCATGTGGGTTTTAGAAGCATTATGGGACGCTGAGGCCACATTTCCCTTATGTCAAATGTGATTTGACAACACAGCAAGCAGTGGAGGTATGGCAGGACCTGCATCCCTCCTCAGAGATCTCTATTACTTTTCACTGCTGTGGCTGATTGAGCCTTTCACTGTCACGTTACTTAACCACAGGATAGTTTCACTAGCATGCAAGCAAACACAGGTCTTGAGGAGAAGGCATGTAGAGGTTGATGCTCCTAAGGTTTATCCACTACCTCTCAGGCATGCAGGGTGTTCTGCTGCAGGGCTGCAAAATCAAGGGAGGGCACACTGCTGAGGGGCTGGCCAGAAGATACGTCCCCACCTTAGTGACAAACCAACACATGCTCTGAGGTGTCTGTTTGCTTAACTGCAGTGAAGAACCAGGACAACTTCATAGGCTGCCAAAGGTGCTTGGCAACGGGACATTGCTTTTCTGCCTACGGGAATCAAAGCAGCACCATGCTTGTCACTCACCTGCTAGGAGATTTGCCAAGTGGATGTGTGGGGTTTCTCTCCATGCTTTGTGCATTTACAGATTTTCATTGCTGTATTTCTTTAGATCCTTAACAAATGCACTAAATGAGTGCCTGTCCTGAGGGAGTTGAGTGTACCTATGCATGACTGGTTATGTAGATTTCTGCTCTTTTCACAAATTTAAGACATAGCATTACCTGTGAACACATGGCTTGTGTGAATTCTGACCTTTCTCAGCTTTGGACAATTTATCATGAATCAGTAATAGTATCCTTGGAACAAATTAGGTTTCCTGTGAAGCACTGTTGCCTTTAAAATGTTAAAAGGGCACAAAAAGTAAATAAGGTTTGATCAAATACAGTGCTTAAAAAAATATAGTCATTTTACTCAGTGAAAACTAAAAGCTGTGTGTTACTTTGAGAGCAGCAAATGAATTGTCAGGAGAATGACACAGTTTTCCTGATGGTAGAAGAGAACTGACATTGAGTGCTGACTAACAAAAATTATAAACAAAATGAGAACATTTTTAAGTGATGCTGGTCCTAATTCAGAGTTTTCTCACACTAAGCTGTACAAAGTCCACAGATGTCACCTTACACAGAGCTCCTTTGTTTCGTATCCTACTTAATGAACTGCTTCTTAGGTTTGTGGATAAATTTTAGCTCCAGTGTTGCTCAACACAGCATGCAATGAGAGCCGGGCATTCAGCGGTGGTGCTAATCTCTGCTGCTTGCCCTATCCGCTTGCCTGAAAAGCACTGGACTTATGTGGCTGAGCAGCCTGAAGAAAAATGCTCCCACATTCTTGTCAAGACTGTTCTTCAGATGGTGGAGGAGGATGCCAGAAGTAGCAGAAGATAGAGAGCTGGAGAGCCCCGTTAGCAACTCAGCACATGGGTTTTCAAGATCAGAGGCACAAGTATCCATTTCTCCATCAAGCTGAAAGCAGCAGTAGCTGAATAGTTGCTGTAGGACCAGTGCTGCTCATGTGCTTTTTGCAGCCGTCTGCCAGAGACTGGGTCCTATTTTCCAAACAGAAGCCAGATCAAAGCTGCTGGTCGGTTAAGCAGCAATGAACACCAGGACATGAAGTTTGTGATTAGGCTCACAACAGAATTAAGCTGCACTTAGAAGGATGAGTGTCAGGTTGGGCTTTTAGTTCAGTTCCAACTCTGGAGGAAGTAGAAACGTATCTTTACCTGTACAAGAGCACACAGCAGCCAGCCACACTGCTTGCTGACCCCTTCCCAAGGCCAGAACAGATGATTTCTAGCTAGGATAGATGATTTACAAGAAGGTGTAAAATCCTCATCATGCACCTAATTATACTTTACTACACTATGGGGGGATATTTCCTTCTGAGTCCATCTGGTGATCAGACTGTACCCTGAAGCATGTGGATTGATTGCCCTCATGTTTTTTGGTCTAACTGCTGATGCTTTATTTTTATTTGTATGAATGTCTAAGCCTTTTTGAAGCATTGAAAATTATGATTAATTGTGCAATGAAAATCAATAATGGAAGTGCTTACAAAGCCAGCTTGATTTGGGAATGAATCCCAAAGACAGCTGCTTTCTCTAAGAGTGATGGAGAAAGTTGGAGAAAAGCAACAGAAAAAAAGTCCAGATCCTGGTGGGTTTTTTTGGTGATGCTTGTCATAGGCTTAACCCCTTCAGCATCTGCTGGGAGCTTTGTTACTGGCTGATGTTACCGCTTCACGAAAGCAAAACCTCAAATCCATCAAATAAACAAGAATACCCAATTTAATAGAGATGCACTGAAAAGTGAAAATATTTACACTCCTGTACCAGAATGCAGCCCCATACCCTTGGGGTCATGACAGATCCACTTTTCAAGAGAGATTCCAGGGATAGGGATGAAGAAATGGCAAGGCATTTACTATGGTATCCCTGCCAACAGCTCTTACTCCCTTTTGCACGCTGACAGGTGCTGGCGTTTTGCCTAGGTTAAGTATTCAATTTTTTCTGTATTCTCAGAGGAGCCCATTGTCAGAGCTCATGCATGCCAGTTTCTAGAACTCCATATAGAGTGAGTGCCATCTCGTGGTTAGCTCTCCCTGCTGCACTGGGCCAGGGCTTGTGCCGGGGCTCTCGGCGCTGCTGCAGAGCTGCACGTTGGAGCTCAAAGATAGTGCTCCCAAAAGCAGCCTGGAGGCAGGGGACTAGATAAGGGGAGAGCTCTGTGGCAGGTGCCCGGCTCTGGTGCTAGGATACTGAGGAGGAAAAACAGCCTCTTTCACAAAACATTCTTCAAATAAGAGTGTACATCACCTGGCCCCTCTCCAGAGACTGAGCTAGAGTCAGCTTTCAATCTCCAGGGCCCCTGAAGTCCTACAGAGTCTTAGGTCTTAAGCCCTGCCAGGGGAAGTTTAGGTTGGATATTAGGAAGAAATTCGTCACAGAGAGGGTAATCAGGCATTGGAATGGGCTGCCCAGGGAAGTGGTGGATTCTCCGTCCTGGAGGTTTTTAAGATGAGACTGGATGGGGCACTTAGTGCCATGGTCTAGTAACCACGGCAGTGTTGGATCAAGGGTTGGACTTGATGATCTCAGAGGTTCTTTCCAACCCAGCTGATTCTATGATTCTATGATCTTGCCTAGTGGAAATGCGCGATGTGTGAAAGCCTCCTTTCTCTGCCTCCCTCAGCGGGCTCCTCTAAAAATCCTACCCCTGTGCAAAACCGCAGTTGCTAAGGGCTGGTGTGGAAAATGCCTAAAAATCCCTTCTGCTCTCTGAGTATAGCAAGTGACTCCATTCATTTGAGATCTACAGAAAAGCCACCTCTCTCACCCTGGCACTGCTGTTGTTGCCCATCTGTCAACTGCTTCATCTTTCATGACTGCCCCTGAGTCTGGGGTGAGACCATCTCCCTGACTAGGGAATACAGAGCAGGGCTGTCTTCAGGCAAGATTACCTGGTCCTTTCAGATCTATACCATCTATCAAGCCAAAACGGCCTCTTCAATTTGCAGACATACACACATATATGCAACACGCATGAAACACATGGTCATCCCACCCAAGAGAATTGCTGCAGTCGCAGGTTCTGCTTACACTTTCCTTTCTCTGGTGTTCCTCTGCAGGGCTCCCTAGTCACTCATAAGAGGAGAACAGCTGCTTTTTCAGTGCCACCCTCTTCTCTGGCAACAGCAGGTCCTATCTCTGAAAACAGGAGGAGTGGCGTAGGGGCCATAGATAGCTCCCCCTCTCTGGGCAATAATAATAATAATGGCCAGCCTTCGCGAGCGAAGATTTGGGAAAGGTCATTAACCCTTCGAGCCTGCGCAGTGGATTTTTTAGGTGAGACACAGCGTGCGCTGAACTGAGCCCACCCTTTAATCCTGAGGTTCATCTGCCGGGGCCGAGCAAGCTTGGACAGTGGCAGTGAGGGTCTCAGGACGTAGGTTTGTTTAGAGTGACCTTCTCTTAGATGGATTGCCTTACAAGGCTGACGAGCTCCATCTGCCCGGGGGGGCTGGGAATCGAACCCGGGTCACAGTGGTGAGAGTGCTGCACCCTAACTGCTAGACCACCAGGGGCCCAGATTAATTAATTAATCTGGGCAATAAGCTAGGGTGATATC